AGAAAAGGGTTGCTATTATTCGTTGAATTGAATCCTACTCGCGGATGTGTTCCGTTTCGTGAGGGCAACGGAAATTGTGTATTCGAATGTAAATACGGAAGTAAATTAAACATGTATATATATATATATATATATATATATATATATATATATATATATATATATATATATATATATATATATATATATATATATATATATATATATATATATAATATATATATATATACATTATACATATATATATACATATACAGTATATATATAATATATACATATATATATATATATATATATATATATATATATATATATAATATATTATATATATATATATATATATATATATATATATATATATATATATATATATATATATATATATTATACATACATACATACATATACATATACATAGATAGATAGGTATAGATATAGATATACATACATATATATATATATATATATATATATATATATGTATATATATAAATATATATATATATATATATATATATATATATATATATATATATATATATATATATATATATATATATTATATATATATATATATATATATATATATATAATATATATATACATATATATATAATATATATATATATATATATATATATATATATATATATAATATATATATATATATATATATATATATATATATATATATATATATATATATATATATATATATATTATATATATTTATACGGACACACACAGAATTGCATAGAAAAGATAGATGGCTAGGTAGAAAAAGAGATAGAAAGATGGGTCGATAGATTAGTAGACAGACACACAGGCAGATCGACATATAAAAAGACAGACAGATAGATATTAAACAGACAGACAGACATGCAGGCAAGTAGGCAGATAGAGAGATGGATAGAGAGATAAAAAAACATAGATAGGGTAAGTAGGTAATCAATAAAGTGTAGATAGATAGATAAAAATAGGTAGATAGAGAGATGGGTAGAGAGATAAAAAACATAGATAGGGTAAGTAGGTAATCAATTAAGTGTAGATAGATAAATAGATAGATAAATAGATAGATAGAGAGATGGGTAGAGAGATAAAAAACAGGTAAGAAGGTAATCAATAAAGTGTAGATAGATAGACAGATAAAGAAATAGATGTTTTCTGTGCATCTATTGACACTTTCTTGCCTGTTACCCGACCCTCTCCAGCGACTGGAATGCGCAAGTCGATAGCATTGATTGAGCCATTGGCACCCGCAAGCATGAACTTCTCAAGTTCCTCTTTGACACTTCCTCTTTACTTCTTTTATTTCCTCTCATTTCCCGTTCTTCTCTTCGTTTTCCTTCTGTTTTTTTTCTCTCTTTTTTTTTTTTTTTTTTTTTTTTTTTACGACCTTGTTTCCTGTCGCTTGTCTTCTTCGATTTCGTTCTCGTCTTGATTGTTATCTGTTTCTCCTCTTTTCGTCTTTTTTTTTCTTCTCCCTTCCTCCTTCTTATTATCCTCATCTATTCCTCTCTTCATCTCAGTCTCGCCTCACCCTATCCCCTTCCATCTCCTATTCCCCTTCTCGCCTTCATCTTCCTTCTCTCTGCCCTTTTCCTCTCCTCCCTCTCCTAATCCCTCCCTTCCTTTTCATCTCCTCTTTCTGCCTCCTTCCTCTCTCTCTCTCCTTCCTTCTTCCCCTCCCTCCCTCTCCCTAATTCCTCTCTCTCTTCCCCTCTTTCTCTCCCCTCGCTCCTCCTCCCTCCTCTCCTCCCCCCCCTCCTTTCCCTCCCTCTCCCCTCCTCTCCTTTCCTCTCCCTCCCCTTCCCTCCTCTTCTCTCTCTCCTTCCCCCTTCCCCTCTCTCTCCTGTTCTCTCCTACCTCTCATCTCCTCCCTCTCCCCCCCCTCCCTCCTTCCCCCTCCCCTCCCTCCCTCTCTCTCTCCTTCCCCCCCCTCTCCTCCCTCCTCTTCCTCTCCCTCCTCCCCTCCTCCCCCTCTCCTCCTCTCTCCCTTCCCCTTTCCCTTCCCCCTCCCTCCCCTCCTCCCTCTCCTCTCTCTCCTCCTTCCCCCCCCCCTCTCCCCTCCCCCCCTCTCTCACGTCCAGCCCCGGAAACCGAGATGAACGGAGAACATTCTCGAAGCTCCTCAGCGAGACGGGCCAATTACCTGCCATCTGTTTGCTTTCCAATTATAAGTTTTTAGAGTAAACAATTTCCCCCAAAACTTGACAATACCGCCCACAACTCGCATGCACTGAACAAGGAGAGAAAAAAACAAACAAACAAAAAAAAGGTGTATTCAGAGGTAATGAGGAGACAAATAATAAATAACATTTGCACTTTTATGTGTTCATCTACGTAAGTTTTGGGTGTGTGTGTACGTGCATACGTGTGTGTATGTGCGTTTGTTTATGGGGGAGTGTGTGAATGTGTGTGTGTGTGTGCGTGTGTACATTTGTGTGCGTGTGTGAAAGTTTCCCCTCTCCTCACCCTAGTATTGTTTTCTCCACTTATCCTACTCCTCCCCCCTACCACCTCTCTCCTCTCTCTCTCTCTCTCTCTCTCTCTGTATCTATCTTTCCCCATCGATCATTCTTTTCTTCCCCACTATATATCTCTCTCTCTTCCCCTCTCTTTCTCTCCCCCCCTCCGCTCTATCTATCCAATCTTTCTCCATCTACCCCTCCTTCCCTCCCCATAAATCTATCTCTCTTTCTCTCTCTTCCCTCTCCCTTCTTCTCTCTCTCTCCTCTCACCCTCTCACCTTCTTATACCAATGACCAATCATTCATTATATAATAATACACCTTACTAATAATAACTAATACACCTTACTAATCTACAAACATCCCCAACCTGGTTTATAAACCTTAAAAGAGACCGCAAATAAACCCGACTGTTGATTGGGCGTCAGATCCCAGGGACTTCAAAGATGATTCCCGTTATTGCACGCCCGTTGCGACCTGAAATGTTGCAATGGCTGGCTGAAGTGGCCGCGCTGAAGGACTGGAGTTGTTGACAGAGAGATGGATAATGATACTGTGTTAGAGATGAAACGGAGGGGGTGGATTAGAGTGTCATTTGCGTAAGGAACTCATCGAATTGGCCTTTGTGTTATGCAAGCACACACACACACACACACACACACACACACATACATATATGTTGTATATGTATGTGTGTATGTGTGTGTGTGTGTGTGTGTGTGTGATGTGGTGTGTGTGTGTGTGTGTGTGTGTGTGTGTGTGTGTGATGTGTGTGTGTTGTGTGTGTGTGTGTGTGTGTGTGTGTGTGTGTGTGTGTGTGTGTGTGTGTGTGTGTGTGTGTGTGTGTGTGTTGTATGTGTGTTAGTGTGTGTGTGTGTATTATTTATTCTTTTTTTTTTTTTGCTGTCATGATATATTTCCTGAATGTTTGGGATTGATTTAATGTAGCCCTGGTTGTCGCTCCTTGGCAGATGAAGCAGTTAATATTATGTCTGTATATGTCAGGCAATTGCTGACACTTATATTGCATACGCAGGCTGGGAAATACACACAGATACATGCACACACACACACACACACACACACACACACACACACACACACACACAAACACATACACATCACATATCTCCCTCTCTCTCTCAACAGAAGAAGAAGAAGAAAGAGAAGAAGAAGTAGCAGAAGAAAACGAAAAAAAGAGGAAGAGAAGGAATATGGATGAACATGAGAGGCATACATAAAAAGCAGCAGCCAGCCAGGCATTCGCGCCCATGAACCAAAGGCATGAAAAGGAACGTGTAATCGAGCAGTAAAAAAGAAAAAGAGAGAAAAATAGAAGGAAAGAAAGAAAGAAAGAAAGAGAAGAGAGAGAAGAAAGAAAGAGAAAAAAGAAGAAGAAAGAAGAAAGGAAGAAAAGAAAGAAAGAAAGAAAGAAAGAAAGAAAGAAAGAAAGAAAGAAAGAAAGAAAGAAAGAAAGAAAGAAAGAAAGAAAGAAAGAAAGAAAGAAAGAAAGAAGAAAAAGAAAAAAAAAAGAAAGAAAGAAAGAAAGAAAAAAAATTGGCGCGCTTCGATCACTGGTCTCGAAAAAAACCCGGATCGATCAGACACATTGTTCTCAGAGACCAACCGGGACCACTCTGAGAACCCGAGCGAAGTGTGAAGTTCATACTAATTTTTTTGAAAACTATTTTTCCCTCTCGAGGACCTATGATTCATTCCTACTTCTCCTCTCTCCTTTCCGGGAAATTGGAAGCATATGTTCTCTTTTATCAACTTTACGGCAAAAAAAAGCATATGTTCTCTTCTATCAATTTTCCGGCAAAAAAGTAGAAGGTTTGGTCCGCTTTTCTCCTTTATTCTTCTCGCAGAATGCGTCTGAACCGCCTGTTGCTATTCATGACTATTTACTCATCGCTAGTGAAACGGAAGTGGAAAAATATTATGAAATGCTGTTAAAGTTACACTGTGAGCGACCTCGAATACCGCGCGCTGCTCTCAGGGTTCAATGGAGCCCCAGTTTTTCTTCTAAAGCCACTGGGTTCGATTTTACAATTCTGATGAAGCTGAGACATCGAGAGGCGCCGTCGCGGCTCGTCCGGTCTCAGGACATTCGGTCTCAGGCAGCCTTTTACGTGGGTATTTGCTCCAGTTATTATCATTATTATTGTTACTATTATTATTATAATTTTCATCATCATTATTATTGTTACTATCATTATTATTATTCTTATCTACATTATCATCATTATTATTAATACTATTATCATTATCCTTATTATCATCATCACTATCATTATCATTATTATTACCATTATCATTAGTGATGTCGTTCTTGTTGTTATTATTATTTTTACTATCATTATCATTGTTATCACCATTATTATTATTTCCATAATAATGATAATAATAATAATAACAATTATGATTACTATCATTATCATTGTCATTATCATAATTATTACTACTACTATCATCATCGTCATTATTATTATCTTTGCTTATTTTTATTTATTCATCTACTTGACTCACGCTCTTGTCGGCGAGGTTGTGCACGAGGCAGTGGAGGTAGACGGTGTTGCCGGCGAGGCCCGACACGTTCCTGGGCGCCGCCTCGTCGAACACGGGGTACGAGGGCAGCGTGAAGAAGCGGTTGGCCGCCCCCCCGCCCGCGCTCAGGTCCAGCAGGGGCTTGATGGGCTCCACGGGCGTGCTGCTGCTGCCGCTCAGGGTCATGCCGAGCTGAGTGCTGCCGCCCAGCTTCGTGTTCACGCTGTTCCTGCTGCTGCCGCTGCCGCCGCCTGCCGCGCTGTTGCCGCTGTTGCCCACGCTGTTGCCGAGGTTGCTGAGCACGCTGCTGCTGCTGCTGCTTCTGCTGGATCTCCGGAGGAACTCCTGCTCCTGCAGGTGGGGGCGGGCGACCGGGAAGACGCCCGGCGCGAACTTGGCCAAGCCATTGGAGGAGGAGGTCGCGGAGGTGCCGGACGGGCCTGCGGGCAGAGAGGCGCGGAGCCGGATGAGACATGTGGGTAAACGAAGGAAGAAGTGGTTGTCTACGGAAGACAGAACACACACACATATATATATATATATATATATATATATATATATATATATATATATATATATATATATATATATATATATATTATATATATATATATATATAAATATATGTATATATATTATATATATATATATATATATATATATATATATATATATATGTATAATATATATATATATATATATATATATAATATATATATATATATATATATATATATATATATATATATATATATTATTATATATATTATAATATATATATATATATTTAATATATATATGTATATATATACATATACATACATATGTATACACACACACACACACACATATGTATATATATATGTATATATATATTATGTATGTATGTATACACTTATGTTTTAAATAGGAGACAAAAATTCGATTTTTTTTGGTCACACGAAAAATGCAATAAAATATCATAAAACGCCTATATATCCCATCCATTAGATACACGAACAGCAAAATACGAAAAAATGCTAAAAAGCGATATTAAGTTGAAAGTACGTTAAACTGCAGTCAATAAATAACACGAGAAATATGCAACCGAATGGATATCTATTGCTGAATGTCGGCCGTTTTTTTTAGAATATTTTTTGCAAAGAATGAAATAGTTGCAATTTTTTTTCCATTTTATCATAACGCTGCAGGAGGATCACGCAATATCAGTGCAATGATTCGAATCTAACTTTTAAACTGCTTTTGACTCGAATGGAAAATGGCGATGATATTAATGACAGAATGATAATGAAACGATGATGGTAATGGTGTCACTGACGTACTGATTTTGATGTTAAGGGATTCCATGATAATGATCATAATAACAGAAAGGCCAGGATGATAATGGAAAAAAATAATGATGATATTGATAAGAATATTTATGTACAATTAATGATTATTTTGTCATTACTATTATTTTCATCCTCGTATTTTTTCTTGTTCTTAAATCACTTAGAACATTTTTCTCTAATTAATTAATGAAAGAGATGGCATATGGATAGAAAGAAGAGACATGAGAAATGGATGGATAGGATGAAGACCAAGAAGATAAACGGGAAGAGGAAATGGAATAGGAAGAGGAGGACTAAGAGGAAAGAGAAGGGAGATGAAAGGGTGGATAGGAATAGGAACACGAGGAAGGAAATAAAGAAAAAGAGAAAGAAAGGGACAAACAGGAAAGCTGAAAAGAAATGCATGAGAGGGAATATCTTCACAGTGCAAGTGATGTGTTTGGCTGATTTCAATTATAACTTCGTCATAAATATCTGACGGTCAAAGAGAAAGAGAGAGAGAGAGAGAGAGAGAGAGAGAGAGAGAGAGAGAGAGAGAGAGAGAGAGAGAGAGAGAGAGAGAGAGAGAGCAAGATAGATAGATAGATAGATAGAAAGAGTAAGAGTACGAGAGCGAAAGGGAGAGAGAGAGAAAGCGAGAGAGAGAGAGAGAGAGAGAGAGAAGAGAGAGAGAGAGAGAGAGAGAGAGAGAGAGAGAGAGAGAGAGAGAGAGAGAGAGAGAGAGAGAGAGAGAGAGAGAGAGAGAGAGAGACAGATCCAGACAGCCATCCAGACAAACAGAGAGTGAGAGAAAGAAAGAGACAGACAGACAGACAGCAGACAGGCAGACAGCAGACAGAGAAAAAAGAGAGTAATGCGTGAGAGAAGAGAGAAATACCACATCGGAAACCATTTTCCCAAATGAAAGAAAAAAACTCTCGTAATTTTTTTTCACCCTCTCCCATTCCTCTCTCCCCCTCTTCCATCTTTCTGCCTTCCTTCCTTCCTTCCTTCCTTCTTCTCTCATCCCTCATTCCTCTCTTACTTCCATGGCCTCTCAGCCTCCCTTCCTTCTTCACTGTTCGTACCTCCGTTCTCTTTCTCTTCTCCCATTCCTTCTTTCGCCTTCAT